GGGCCCCGGTAATTTCCACGTAGTGGTTCTAGTTATGCATGGTTTACAAAGATTTATTGGTTGTATCCTTCCCACGATGCACTGCAAGTCCCCAAATTGTTTGGAGTTGTTGCATCCGTTTGCACACCACTGCCAACACGCACGCAACAACTCCCAACATTGTTGGCGCAACGATGTTGGGAGTTGTTGCGTCCGTTTGCAAGCAGCCTAACGTTGGATGATTCTTTTCGGTTATTATTTACGTATAGACGAGTAGTCCTCCCCCCTGAATACTCCTTTTTTACATCGTGGAATGCCCCTATATTGACTTTCTCGTTAGTTCTTCATTTCGCATATCCCCAAGGCTTTATTTGAAATGGAATAGTGGCATCTATAAGAATTTTACTCTGACTAACACCAATACTATTTTCTTTTAATGCGGTGCTTCTGTTCGGGTTTAAACCTATAAATTGAATTCTCTTCTAACTTCTCCTTTTTAAAAAATTCAGAGTTTCATGCCTGTTAGTTGCCCTGAGTAGCGAAATAACCTTTCTTGCCCTTGCAGTCAGTGCTTTCTCTCTCTGACTTTGGAAGGAATAGACTGCGGACCAGCTAAAGGAATGTTTGTGTGAGGCAAGGGCTGGGACAACTGTTTCATGCTAGTCCGCTTTCCCTTTCTCTCAGTCTTACCTTTCTAAAGCTGTTTTTGTATACGTAGTCCGTAGTCCGTGTTTATACTCAGACCGGAGTCTGCATTTTATACCTAGTCCATACTTGTCCTTGTTTTATATCCAGTCCGCAGTCCGTGTTTCGCATTCTGCGTTTTACACTGCGCGTCCAGTACTGTGTGACCGCCGGTAAAACTTAAACACAATAGTCTGGCCTCACCACGTGATCGCAGTGCTCTATCGCAATATATATAGTCACGAACAGCGCATCAGAACTCATTTCAGGCTGATATGGCGAAAACGGCATATCCATTTTTTTTTTTAAAGCATAATGAAGGGAAGATAGCGATATGGCAGAATTGTTTGATAGCTGCTTTTCATGCAAGAAAAAAGAGGTGAGATCTTTGCTTACAAACACTATTTATTGTTCAGTTCAGGGGCGACAACGACGGTTTCCTCCTAAATACATTGAAAACACTTTTTAGCCTATCCAGTGTACTTTTAGGTCTGTAGAAATGCATTCTAAGCGGCTCTGTAAAAATTTTTATCTCTTCGGTCATTCTAGGTCAACTTGAGTCTTTTCGAAATTAGAAGGCATGACAAGGGCTTAAGTATTATGTTCCCGAAAATTTTAGATTCAATTTGACGTGTTACGAAAGTGAGGCATTTTCTAAAGAATTTTTGAGATTTAACCTTTTCCCGAGAATTCTTGGGAATCATTTCGCAGGGGTGTCAAGAGGGTATTCCACTCCGATGGGCGTGAAGTTTGACTTGAGACCCGTTTGACATGAAGCGTGACTTAAGCTTTGTCTACACCATACCGGAGATCTTTTTATTTCGACATGAAAACTTCTCCGGCCTGGTATCAGCAGAGACGACGCAGAAATGGAACAACTCCTGCACGGCGAGTCTACACAACCGATCGAGCCTCGTACCGGGTAGTGGAACAGAAACCCGTCGGCGCCAGGGGCATCCGATGTGTGACAATCTACTCTGCTCGCCCCGATACAGAAACCATGCCGAAATCTGTTCTCTCTTGACAGATTTTATGCCATCTTATCCTAAAAAAAAAAACCTCGAAATTTTTCGACAATTAAAGGACAACTGAGCGTATATTAAGTTTTCAGTCTCACCCTCCTATCAAAGCGAGATCCTATAACAGAGTTGACCAGACTTAGATTTGATATCCTAACTTGGGGGGAGGGGGGGCGGGTACTCCCTTAGCTATATATGTATGTACCGACCCATCGGGTTGGGTTTTTGCGCCGTTTTGGTCTGAAAACGGGTATACATTTTGACCGTTTTGGTCTAGCCTGGAATCGGGCATGGTTTTGAGGGAACTACGGGAGTGTATGAACGTATTTATCGTTTCAATTGCAAAAGAGTAAGAAGGAAACTGAGAAATATGCGAATTCGAAATAGATTTGAAGAATTTTCTTGTTTGCGTCCTAATCTAAGTATAAAAGCATAACTTCTGCCTTAAGGCCAGGTCTGACAACGAGTATGGATTTTAACGGTCTGGTCTGAAACCCCCCCCGTATCCTTAACAGGTTGAGCAGTTTGATTGTTTTTTTTATTTAGGATTAGTAGGGTAAAGGTTTCGCTGGTTCGAGTATTCGATCATCGATCCTGGATCAGGGGAGCGATCAAAGCTTTCCGAGTATGTTCATACGGCCTTCTGAGTTCACTTCATGATTCACTCAGCTAAAAAAAGGATGAACACTGCACCCACTCAAGCTTGAAATAAATGCAAGTTGAAAAGCGATATTTCCGCCAACTTTTGTTTGAGATCACGTCCATTAAGATGAATATGATATAAAAAGGCTCTGTGGTTGGCCACTCAAACAAGGTCACGCAAAATCGGTCATTGTTGCCGCAGGCTCGAACTTAGTGCTGGTGTATTCCCTACAAGATTTGTTAGGAAACCGTTTCAATTTAGCTGCTATTTCAGCTACAGAGATACAGTTAATGCCATTTGGAACTGTTTGGTTTTTCCGAAAAAGAGGTCGAAAAATCATCAACAGGAAACTGATCCATTGGAAGTTATCGAACCTCACGCAATAATAGTGGCATCTTAGTTGATTATTCGTGAAGATCCGTTGCAAGGGCTTCAGCGAGCAAGACTGTGATTCAATTGTTTAGAGACAGAATCTGTTAACGAGTTCTACTTCGCCTTTTCATCAAAATGGCCTTAGATCTGGTGAATTCTTATACGGGTGTAGGAAAGTCAACCATGAGTTCATTTCGTGAGAAAATGAGCAAGTTAAAACAAGAGGTAAGGGAAACAGAGGAGAAAACTAAAAAGTGCAAAGAAGAGACACTGGCCGCGAGATGGAGGGAACATAACGCTAAGGTGCAAATGAAGGCGATGACCGAGAGAATGAGCGAGATCGAAGAGCAAATTAGAAAGGTAGAGACTCGGATTGACTACCAAAATGGTAGAAGAAAAGAGGTTGCCGAAAAGTCTCGCGAAAACTTTCGAGTTCGGAACGACTTGGAAGGATCTAAAATCAACTTAAAGCAAATGATGCGTGACCTTGAAGAGGCCCAGCAACATACACTAGAAGTAAAGAAAATGAACAGGGGCTTACAAAAAGTGGTGGCTATTTTAGAGCCGAAAATAGAGAAAGCAGAACGGCGGGAGCAGAAGGCTTTAGATCGAGCTTTCCTGATTAGCCAAAAGCTTACAGTGCATCGCTACTTAGCGGAGAAGAGACCGGAAGGATTGCCACTTCCAGATGAAGAGATGAAGGCCCCAATGTCGGATCAGGAGGCTAAAATCATGAACATAAGAGGGAAGATTAAAGGTGCCGTTTTGCGTCGAAGAGAATTCGAGAAGAAGAAAGTTGCTCTGGAGAGAAAGATGGAAGTCATGCAACAGGCCATGGATAACTACAAGAGACGGATTCTTGATTTTCAAGTTAGCAAACGGGAATTGCTGAGCTCGAACTTCTACTGACAGAACTCGCTTTCCTTACTTAAGAAAAAAATTGGCCGATTATCTATCATTGAGGCACAGAAAAAGCCGGGGTATTAAAGGTCCAAATTTTGCGAGGAAAGCTTTTTCCTCAATTCTTAATGTCATCTCATCTCTCTCTATCTTCAGTCTGTGTTTGTTCAGGATTATCATTAATCGAAGTAAGTTCTGTACATGTTTAGCTTCAATTGACCAAGGCAAGTGATTAATTCATTTTGACAGCATCGAACTAAGAACTTCTTTGTCTTTATGGTTCGTTTTCAATTTTTTTCTTTTTAATTAATTGCGTCTGAATTTATTCCCGAATGCCTACGTAACCAACTCCAAACAGTAAACACTGGAGTGACCTGTTGCTCGTCTGAGTCAAAGCGGCATGTTAATAGATATGAAAGCTGAAAAAAGAAAGAAAGAATAATTATGTTATCATTTTCACGACGTAAAAAAAGAACGTTAGCTAAGACGAAAAAAAAAAACTAAACTAAGCAAAATAAAATAATTAAGGCCAAAAAAAAACAAACAAAAATAAAACAATCCGTCTGATGTAGTCGGTTTTAGCGTGACCGCGTCTTATGAATCAAGCCAACTTAACGCTTGTCTGAGTTTCTGGCACGTGCCTGTAGATTAAGCTTGAGTACGAGGTTCCATAATTAGTGTTCGATCACGATACACTACTTTCTCGTTGGACTATTTCCTGGTTTATACTTGACAAAAAAAGGCTATTTCAATGGATCACCCTACAGCTGACCTTAGCTTCATAATATCGATCGCATAAGAATATAAATCAATGTGATATGAATATTAATGGATCACTAGACTGCCGGCGGATCTGATCGTAAGATCGGTACGGGATCTTCTTGTTCTCCGCCGCGAGAGAACACGCGAGCGAGCGGCGAAGCACATGCTTAATGACGTGACCTAATTACCATACATGGCAAGAAGATGATGTCGAACGTTTGGTCTGAAAACACTCAAAATTCAACTTATCATGTGTCGTCAAGATTTATGTGGTAGAAGTCACAACCGTAACATGAAATTAAGTTAAGGTTTGGAAATGGGATCCTGATATGTTACCTTTCCAATGCGATCTATTACTTGGAAAACCTTGGAATGTGTTCAAAAAATTTTAATAAATTGAGACGTTTCTCAACAATTCATTTCGCCTGAAACGTATTTCATATACACCCAGACTCTTCAGTCGAAGTCGGTGGTTATTAGTTACAAAAAACGATCAGAAACCCGCTCGAGATTTTTGATTGTACTTCTCAGTGTCTCTTGATAGTAGATTATACTGAGTCTTGTCATGAATCCGTTCATTCAATTTTTATTCTTCACAAGGCGAAGCGTTGGCATATATGTAACGGATGAATAATTTTATGGTCCTAGCCCTAAAACAACAGCAAAAAGTAGTCTAGTTACCTTGTTGCCAGTCTTCTTATAATTCAAGTCATTTTGAAAATCATGGTCAATCCACCATCATGACAACCGATCTAATTGAAATGCCGAATTGATTGGCCCTTTCCCCTCCTGCTTTGAAGGAAGTTTGAAAAACTTTAAAACTTAGTTTATAGCACTGTTCACTCTGTTCCGTAGCTATAACACAGAAATCATTTTGGTAACAAGTGGTATAAGGTTTGGATTTCACCTTATGTTGCGATCTTTTGCAAAGAATCCGTGTTAAAAACAAATGACTCAGAGCTTGTTTTTGGACCTTGCTCTGATTAAGGTTATGCAAATATATCATATCTCGTTTTTTGTTTGCAGTGAAACGATTAAAACTTTAAGGAAATAAGCGAATTTTGCATGTCGATAATTCTCCTTTCAAAGCTCAGCCGATATCTGAGTTTTACAATAGGACTTGACCGCTGGTCCAGTGGGGCCTCTAAAATAAGTCAGCAATTTGAACCCAAAGATAACAAACAAGTGGTTCTAAATATTGAGGTTACCGTAGTGACCTGGTCAAGTCCTATGGCAAAAAAATGCATCTTGGAAGCAAATTTTATCGTGTTTCCAGACAGGTTTCATGTCCAGAATGGCAGCTATTTTCGAAAAGAAGGTTTTTAATGTTTTTATTTTTTTTTTTAAGGTTATCCCGCAGTCTTTTTAAGCCATAACGTGCAACATGCATGCACCCAAGGTGCTTGTCCCTGGATTATTCTTCAGACGTCAGTCATTATTGTGGCATCAACTCAAATGCCTGCTATTAAATTTCAGCCCGCGGAATTAATAACCCCTTGTGATTGAGCGCACAGTTACCATTTCGTCACAGCTATTGCCACTTGAAGATATATTTTTTAACCATTTTGTTGATGAGGGGCCCTGATTTTCTGCTGGTTTCTGCTATCTTTGTATTTTTCGGCTCAGTCAAAGGTATGGATTTCTTCTAGTTCTTCTATTTTTTTTTTAATTAATCAAAATATATACAGCTGGCGAAATTTGTTTATAACACGTTCAAAAGTTAAATTTGATATTCCAAAGTAACAGTTCTTGCAAAAACGGATGATTTTGGCCATATTTTTTTACAAAAAAATCACAAGAAATTTGGTAAAAAAATGACCTATTTGCGTTAAATTTTGAAACAGTGAGACGTTTTTCGTCGCAATTTAACTTTGACTGCTTATAGCATTTGCCAAATACTGCATTATTGCGTAAGGTTAAGAAAAAGGTATCTTATGAAATCTTGCAAGTACTGGTCGGATTTATATAATCTTTAAAAGTGGAAATGAAGGCACTCAAATTAAATATAATTGCCAACGCATTAGGGTAGAAACCTTTAAATACGTTCAAATTTTCACCAAAAAATAAATCAGGTCAATAATGCCCCTAAATGAGAATTATTGACTAAAACCATGGATAGTTTCTTTCTTTTTTTTTTTTTTTTGGAGCTGAAACGCCTTAAAGGAATCCTCTTTGCCAAAAATTAAACAATCTGTAAAAAATATCAATATTTTCAGTATATTTTTCCTATTAGTATAAAAAGTTGAAAGTGGAATATTTTTCCTATTAGTATAAAAAGTTGAAAGTGGGAATTTTCAGGCAAAACTGGTTAAAAGATTCCATATTCCTTAGCATAAGCTTGTTAAAAGGAATTGTCGCAAACCAGATGGAAATTTGCAAGTTCCTTGCGACGAGGTTGGCTACAAGGAAAATGGAAATTTACATGTTACTCGTCGCGATGAAGCTGCTTAAAAGGAACATGCAAATGTCCATGTTCCTCGCAAAAGGCTCATTATAGGTACTTGAAATTAATCTACCGTACGTCAAAGCTTACTAAGATGATTAATCAGGGGCATAGCATCCTTTACGCAACAACGCACGTGCGTACTTGAGAAATTGAGAGGATTTTTTTTAAAGATTTTCTGTTACAAGTAAAAGCTATTTGCAATCCCTATCTGTCTCGCTTTTTTCCACATTGTTTTTACACGTAAAATACAACAGTTGAGCTGTGGTGGAATGTGACAGATTCGAAACATTCTTGAAATGTTTGCCTTCAGGCGATCCCACAATACATTGTGTACTCATAAAAATCGAAAAAAACAATCAACCCTGACTAATCATCATCCTTTTAAGATTTGTCTGGAAAGTTTTCCCATTCATTTTCTCTCTCTCTCTCTCTCTCTCTCTCTCTCTCTCTCTCTCTCTCTCTCTAGAGGAAAAGTAGGGCACTTTTGTTACTTCTTTCCCTTTTGATAATAGCATTGTCAATTTAAACTGGTAACTCGTGAAACTTAAACTATACACAGTTCACTTAAAGTAACTTACGCATGTAAAAAGACAAATTCGAGCGTTAAAACAGAAGAGAAAAAGCTGCAAAGATGTCACAAAAAGGTTACAAAAGGGCCCTACATTGTGGTAGGTGCTTTTTAAAATGCTTTTGACACCTTTTTTGCATTTAATTGTAGCTATTACTTTACCATTTATACTCCATACGTTTCCCTCGCTGGCCACAACACTTTAAACTGGAGATATCGAGGCCGGGAAAAAAACGCCGTGAACATGTTTGACTTTTCATGTCCATGAAAGGAATCACGATTCGGAAAAAGCCCATTTTTGAAATGGAAAGTTTCATAACGTCAGTGTGACCTTTTGAGCCAATCAGCATCCGCAAAATTGTGGTGGAAGTTTAGTTAAGTCTATTGTTAATCTAATAAGCGAAACACAAAGTGAAATGGTCGTTTCCTTATTTTTTGGTGATTTTTTAAAGTTACTGATATCTCGAAAGTGGCCCCGTTACGAAAGTTCCCTTTTTGCTAGAAGTTCCAGCAAGCAATTTTACCGTAATTTGTAAGAGATAAAAATAAAAAAAGCAATCAATCTAAACACCACTAAAGTAGAAGTAAGTGGGCGAAAATACAGGTCCTTCCTTTAAAAAGTAAGGCGCTGGGCCAGCGGAAAGGTGTTCTAACCCCTTTTACGCATTTTGCGCTATTGGGTATACGGGTATATTGTTTGCGCAATTACAAGTAAATGCGTGATTCCTTTCCATCGATGAATTATGAAGTTGTTAAGCATGATGGAAATAATTTTAATCAAGAAAAAAATCATGTGTGGTCACTGGTGTCAAACATGCATAATGGAAAGTTATTCAATTTCAGCGCTTCTCTAAAGGCCCCGCCTTTATTGCGTAGTCAAATAGACTACAGGTTAAGGATCATTAAGGCTAGGCTCCAGAACCATTTGAGCTTCTACTTTAAGCCGCATGAATCTATCAAACGGGACAACGGTGGACAACGAGTTCTTTTATTTCAACGCAGGACACGGCATTGAGGGCACAGCGATAAGCAAGACAAAGTAGTACACAGCATTCCCGTAAGTCTTCATCGTCGTTGACAACGCTCATCATGGCCTATTCCGTTCATCTCGCAGATGGTCGCACTTACCAAAAATCTCTTTGTTTTTCTTAACTCTGCTTTGTAGAGAAATTTTCAAAATGAAATTTAATGTAGGTGAGAACAGACGAATTTCCAGATCGGCTTCGCTTTAGACAAGAAGGGGGTTTTATTCCAAAATGCTAACCAATTCTTAATGGAAGATATGACTAAAAGATACTTGCAGTGAATAAGCCTTTAGACTTCTTACTTATGATGAAATATTATTGAGTATGCGACACGGCTTAGTCGATCGCAGAGCTAAATTTTATCACTCATATTTACCTTTTCCAACAAAAAGCGACGGCAGTAACGGATCACGCACAGTGAAGAAAATTGAGCATGAGGGTTTATCAGTACTCTGTACGTCAGGTAAGGGTGAGTCACTTTTTTATAGGTTTTCTTTGGGTAAAAACAAGTACCATTTCAATGATCAACTAAAATTTCTAGAGAGGACAACACTTATTTTCTTCTCTCCACATTGGTACGCGGCTGCTAACACTAAAATAGGCAAAATGGTAGATTCG